ACCGTATCAATAGCCGGCCATTGCTCTATGAGCAATGAGCCCGGCTAAAAAGTAAATGATATTATAAATGCAATCAGAAAGTGTGTAAGATGAGCATTGATTTTAGAATATAATGCCTTTAAAAAACTCTGTTTCTTTCCCCAACATTAAACAAAAAACTTTTATATACGAAAAAAGCTTTTTAAAAAATAATGTAATCTAAAGTAATCACAAGTAATCATGATTGCATGATGGAAAAGTATTCAGATGTAATTGATTAAGTTATAACTTTTAAAAATGTCTGTAATCAGCTTGTAATCAAGTACATGTGTACTTCTAAAATCTAAAGTAATTGTAATTTAATCAATTTTGAAAGTAATCTACCCCATCCCTGGATGGAAGTTAAAATACTATCAGTTAATTGTCAAGGTCTGGGTGATGTTGCAAAGCTTAGAGATGTTCTCCATTATTTAAAAACACTAAAATATAACATACCATTTACAAGACACTCACGTCTCATCTAAAATTGAGAATGAAGTGAGAAACTTGTGGGGTAATGAATGCTTTTTTAGTTCTTTTACAACCAACTCCAGAAGTGTTGCATTTCTTGTAAATAACAACTTTGATTTCAAGGTCATATCAGAAAAAGGTGATAAAGATGGAAATTTTCATATTTAAGCTTGTATCCAAGGTTATGAACTAGTAATATGTACAATGTATGGTCCAACTAATGATTCTCCAGATTTTTTCAAAAACACTGAAACATATATAGAGGACAAGAATTGTAATAATGTTAAATGGTGTGGAGATTTTAACTTAGTACTGAATGCAGAGTTAGACTATTTTAATTGCAAACATGTCAACAATCCAAAGGCTAGAATTAAATTACCTATTAGAAATCATGGAGGCAATGGATATATAAGCCCTTCTAGAAAACTACATGAAAAAGATCGAAGGTATTCTTGGCACAAGACAAAACCTTTCAAACAGAGTCGACTTGATTTTTTTGTCATGTCAGAAACTCTCTTGCCCTGCTTAAATAAATGTAACATTAAAACTATAGCTATAGATCAGACCACTCCATGATTTCTTTGGTGTTAAAATTTTATGACTTTAAAAAAGGACGAGGTTTTTGGTAGTTTAATAACTCTGTATTAAGGGACAAAGAGTACTTATAGATAGCATTAAAGAAGTTATCAATAATGTTAAAATGCAGTATGCTGTACCAGTTTATGACAGAAAATATATAGATTCTCTTCAAGATAAAGATAAATGTTTTGCTAAAAAATGATCAATTGTTTCTTGAAACTCTCTAAATGGAAATCAAGGGCAAAAGTATTTCGTAATCTTCATACATTACTTAAAACATAGGTAATCAGAGATTACAGAGCTCACCTCAACGAATGTTGTCTTTAAGTAAGGCAAAGTCTCACACTAAACTAATAATCTAGTAGTGTGCATCCCTAGATGCAACATTTATGCAATTTTGGTCTGATAGGGCTTGCAGTTACTTGGGAATGGACTTTTCTAAAAACTTTAAACTAGTCATTCATCCAGAAAATGTAAGTCAAATCCAGCATCTGAAGCAAGTTTGAGAGTCAGGGCTCGACATTAACTTTTTTTCCTACTTGTCCATTCGGACAAGTGATCAAGACATTTACTTGTCTGAACTTCAACTTCACTTGTCCGAAAAATTTCAATAAAGATCTAATACTGTTAACTGAAAAACTAAAAATAAAGTATATTACATGTGCATGATGTTAATTTTATCTAGACTTTCTGTCCTGATAACATAAATGCTATCAACATAAAACAGAATCCGAACTTCGTCAGTTCCATGCCTTTGCAGTAGTATGCAATTAGTGAACTTCGATCCTGATCGAGTGTACTCAATTACATAGCAATCTACCTATATAGGAATCGAAGTTCGGTTTTTATGAACTGTTCCCATCTTAAAGTACCAGTAAACTTTTAACAGTCATTCTTTTAAATATTTAGAGTCTTCTTTACATAAAAATGCACTTGTCCAATTGGACAAGTGCCCAGCAATATTCACTTGTCCATATTTTTTTTTCACTGGTGCCGGACAAGCGGACAAGCGTTAATGTCGAGCCCTGAGAGTGTTCGTCCCTTGATGCATCATCCATGCAAGTTTGGTCAACATAGGCCTTATAGTTACTTGGGATCTGCTCCAAAAACTTTAACCCGGTCACTCATCCAGAAAAAAAAGGTCAGATCCAGCATCCAAAGCAAGTTCAGTAGTGTGCATCCTTAGATGTATCATCCATGCAAGTTTGGTCAACATAGGACTTAAAGTTACTTGGAAATGAGATCTGCTCGAAAAACTTTAACCTGGTCACTCATCCAGAAAATGTAGGTCAGATCCAGCATTCAAAGCAAGTCCAGTAGTGTGCATCCTTAGATGTATAATCCATGCAAGTCTGGTCAACATAGGACTTAAAGTTACTTGGAAATGAGATCTGCTCAAAAAACTTTAACCTGGTCACTCATCCAGAAAATGTAGGTCAGATCCAGTATCCGAAGCAAGTTCAGTAGTGTGCATCCTTAGATTATCATCCATGCAAGTTTGGTCAATATAGGGCTTATAGTTACTTGGAAATGATACCTGCTCGAAAAACTTTAACCTGCTCCAAAAACATTAACCAGCTCCAAAAACATTAACCTGGTCATTCTTTAGCTGAAATTGCAGCATCTGAAACCTTGACTGGTACAATGAAACACACTAGAAGCATCCTCCATGCATCTCTGATTGATATAGGGCATAGAGGTACTTGAAAAGAAAAGTGCTCCAAAAACTTAAAACTGGGACGCTGGTTCCAAGGGTATTACATAAGCTCCCCCAACTTCGTTGAGGTGAGCTAAAGGAAAAATGATAATACAGAAAAAAATGAGAGAAGAAATAAAACTCCTGGAAGAAAATCTTACAGATGTAAATGTTTTTGATTTAGAACACAAAAAACACCACCTTGAAAACTTAAAAGACATAAATTACAAGGTATATGTGTAAGAAGTAGGGTAGATGAAGGAGAAAACCTACAAGATATTTCTGTTCTCTAGAAACTAGGAACTATAATACTAGTAAAATAATACCTATGCTAGGATTAGATACAGAAGAGATAATCCATGATCAAGCTCAAATTTTAGAAGAAACAAAATGAAATCAGACAATTCACCAGGTCCTGATGGTTTTTCAACAGAATTTTAAAAAGTTTTTTGGAAATACCTTAGACACTTAAAAATTTGTTGTCAGATCAATTAACTAGCCTACTTTCTATCATACGGAGACATGGTATAATAACGCTTTTACCAAAGGGGGATAAGCAAAAACTGGCGGCCAATATAACACTCTTAAATACTGTATACAAAATAATTGCATCAGGTACTATTGCTAATAGAATAAAAAAAATTTTATTCTATTAGCAATTTTTATTAAAAATTAACCTTGAAAAATTAATAAATAGCGATCAAACTGGCTTAGTTTCCGATACAAATACTTCGTTCTACTACTATTTCCTAAAGAAATGAACCATAGTACGAAGTATTTGAAGCAGACTATTGCTGGAACTCTTCAGCATCAGAGGTTTAAACAAATAGCACATTCCTATGAAAAATCAACAGCTTTATATTTTGTTGGATTTAAACCTTGCAGAGGTAAGGCCAGGTAAAATTAAACTTTAGATTCTCATCCCCGCCCGCCCCTCTCAAAGTGCCCCGCCCCGTTGTTTTTTATTTTGGTTTTTGGGTTTCAAAAGTATTTACATGTATTTTTTACTCAGCAAGAATCTGGGTCAAAATTTAAGAGTTATCTCCCGTCTGTATTAAAAGTCGTGTGGTGTTATTTATAGCACAAAAGTCATGGGAAGAATGGAGAAAAATCGGCAATAAAAGCAGTTTAAATATGTAGGGAAAAGATTATTTGCCAGGATAGAGAAGGCAGAAAAGCAAAAATAACATAAATACATTTAGATACCATCACTGGCATGAGCAAGTTTTTAAAGAGATTTTAACCAAGTAAAAACAGACGAAGAAAATGACATCTGGTCAAGGTATAACTTAATAATAATCGCCAGTTGTATGTGATTTTTTTTTTTTTTAAAAAAGATCGTCGGCAGACGTTAGAGGATAATAATGCTAAGGAAATAGTAAATCTTAAAACTGTTGAGCATAGGCTTTTCAGTAGAACATTTTACAGTTTTAGACATCCTGTTTTGCAAAAATGACATATTTTAATGTTGAACGTGTCAAGTCTCAAGAACGAAAGTATGAGGACAGTGGAAATCTGTGATATTTCACACAAAACAAAAGGAGTTGTTGATAAAACTAAAAGGTATTTGGAGAAAGGCTGATGAGAAGTCGTTACTACTACATACAGCATATACAATTTATTTGGATCCGCACCCTATTTTGTGTGGCGTGTGCTGCATCTGTGTACTTGAAAATTCATTAATAAAAACTATAAATATTAATATTCTATAACAAGAATCTTCGATAGATATTTAAAAGAATAAACAATAAAATATATTCATATTGGCATTAACATAATGTGAAAATTTTGTGTAAGAAGGGCGTTATGTAGATATTTTCAATAATAAAAAATAAAAAATAAAATCCGCCCACCCGCCCCAATTTTTTAGCAAATTAGGATGAGAATCTAAATTTTAAATTTATGTGGCCCAAGAAACGAAAGTATTATGGTGATAGGGAATTAAAATGATGTCTAAAGCAAAAAGTTGAAGCGGACAGCTAATTCATTTCAGCCCGTATTAATCGAAACAAGCGGTCGAAGTCCGGGCACGAAACCCCGAATGAGATTATGTGGCACTAGTCTTAGATTCGTTGGGACTACCAGACCAAAATTTTTAGTCTCTACGAATCTCGCCGAGATTAGCCCTCACCCGGTCCGTAGGACATTATCATTTTAACGATAGAACGTTCTATCTACAATACCTCGACTTTATAAGGTATTAAAACTCTTTACAGAACGACAAAAGAACTCTTACATGTTTGGATCTCGTCTAAATGCACTGTTTAAATCTGAGAGTAATCTGCATCCTCTACTGTCACTCGCCATCTTACTTTGTTTTGATCATGTGATAAGCTGTAAATATTGACGTCAGCACGTTTTTTATCATAGTCAGACCCGTGTTTAAAAAAAAAAAAAAGCAAATGGAGGTGGTAAGTAAAGTTGCGATCATTAAAAAGTTTAAACACACGAGAATTTTAATTTATTTGTTTTAAGATTTGTTTTCTTTTTGTAAATATGATCTGATTTAGTTGAATTTGTTAACGTGTAACCCAATTTTGTTGAACACTGTTCAATGGGGTATCGGGTCCGTTCTCCCTATCTAACTGCGGGTGGTTACGTTCCGACTACTTGTTCGACCCGCGTGGTTTCGACACGAATCCATGTTCGACCCGAGTGGTTTCGTTCCAAGGCAATTAATTAACAATTAGCCCCTTCACGGTAACTGCGGTACTACTCTTTTGCAGGGCAAAATAAGAACGTTTGGCGAAGTTTTTGTTGAGATATAATTAAATGACGTATATTTAACAATTACTTTTACGTCATTTTTCACCAAACTATATCATTTTGCCCTGCAAAAGAGCAGTACCGCAGTTACCGTGAAACGGTCTATTAATTGCTTCCGACGAAATTAAATAACACTTTCAACAGTTTTACATTTTATTTTTTCGTCTACATTTTTTTTTATGTCATCATTATTGTTGATTTTTTTTTTCCTATCAAGTAGAACTATAGTAAAATATTTAATATATTTCCTTTCCAGCATTGACTTTATTTCCGATTTTAATGTTTTTATCAAAGACGTAATCGGTTTAATTTAGTAGTACTGTGGAAAAATTAGGGAACACTTTCATTGTTTACAAGATCTAGTGAATGATTTTGCTAGATTCATTATGACATCATAATTAATGTAAACTTTCTTTTTCCCGTACTTTACGACTCTTAATAGAATTATTTTAGAAAATGAAGTATTTTCAAGGCATTCAATGGAACGACTTTACTATACCGGTCCCCAGAAAAACGCGCTAAAATATAGTGTCTCCGTAGGCGACTTCAGCTGTTCAGTAATAGGGCCTTAGCTGCAATAATGTAGCCATATGAGATCGCGTGAGCGATCGAAAAAAAATTAAAAGTATGAGGTTTTTAGCCTTTTTGACCCCAAAATCGAATTCTACGGTTAAAAATTTAGTTGAAAACTTCGTTTTTAAACGAAGTTTTTAACCAAGTTTTCTGAAAAAAAAGTGATTAATATTGTTTATTCAGTACGAAAGCCTAGAAGGGTTAAATAAGAAAATTAAAATTAAAAATTTTTTTTAAAAAAGTCGTAATAACGAGATAAAAAGTCGTAATTACGAGATAAAAAGTTAAAAGTTAATTATATCTATGATTTTTTAAAATTCAACCTGTAAAGTACAACCACCCCGAATTTTCTCCACACATAGAATAAACGGTTGTTTATTTATATCCTTTGGTAAGTAAACGCAAAACGCATGGTAAGTATTCCCACCTTTTTACGTCATATTTGACAGTTAATAACCCTTATCAGTTGAGTGACGTAAATCTTACGTCATAGTGCAGTGAGCGCGCGGATCTTGCAGATCTGGGGACCGGTAAAGTAAAGTCTACCCAAAAAACTTTCCATATTCATTACTGCCTTTCTTAATTTTTCATTGTAAGTGACAGTTTAAAATATTATTTTTCGTCTTGTTTTCCTACAAATTATGCCCCAATACACATTATTTGACCATTGGCGAGCTATAGTTATAAACCATTATAAAAAGAATTTATTTCTCAAATTTTAGAAATCTGTAGGCACCTTTCATTTACTAGATCTTGACCTTAATATAACGTTATATTTTAAGCATTACTAATTCACTTCGATTACTTAAGTTTCTTTTTATTTCATCATCTATACTGAAAGTTCAAGTATTGGGGATATAATTAATTGTTAATTGTTAACGATATTTTTCTGTTGGTGATATTTTCCCTAAAATACAATATAATACAATTTTAAGTCTTCAAAACTAATTTTCTACGTTTACAAGTTTAAGACGAAGGCGGAAAAAAAACTTAAGAGGGCCCTGGTGGCGGAGTTAGGATTCATTGGATTGTTGCACAGGCACTTGGGGTATGGACCCCCCCCCCCCCTTTCCCATTTTTTTTTTATAATATAAGCTGTCAGCGGCGGCAATTTTTTAACCCAATTTTATGAGGCTAATTAACAATAATGTGTTAGAAATAGATAATCTGCAAGTATCAGTAAACTACAGCTGTTGTGTATACACAAATACATTAATTAAATCGATCGTTTGTTTGAACTGACCGTCTCTCCAGCCACCGGTAATTAATATTCGGGACGGGGTACGGAGATAACCGAGTATTAAGCAGCGCGTGCAAGATGCTGAATCCATTATCAAATCGAAGATGGAAGAATCAGAGGTACGTGATAAATTTACTCTTTAACATTTTTAAAGTGTTGTTTCTTTCACAGTATTGCATAAAAACTTAAATAAGCCTCACCGAAAGCATAACAGGCTAAACAGAAAATAGAGTGACGTTTGCATAAATGAAGAGGCCCCCAACGGGATTTCTATCTCCAGATCAGTAGAATGTGTAAGATGCTGCAAGTGCAAGTCGCGTTTTACGCTCCTATTTGCCTAGTTATTGCACTCTCAAGTAATTTGAACTTCTTTTTTAGTGTCTGCATAGAAAAAAAAGTAATAAAAATTTTAACCATTAGGCCTATAAAAAATTGTGCATAGATCAAGTTTATGTAAGTTTGCTGAGAATATTATTTCTCTGTCAACACGTGTATGTAGTATAATCATGGCAATAAGTGAGTCATAACTGCATTTTCAGTCTATATATTTCATGGAAAAACCTTTTTTTTTAATAAAAAAAATGTTATGAGGTCCAATTTCCATTATTTTTTTTCTGAATAATACAGAATAGTTCAAATTTTCTTGTCTCAAAATGCAAAACAAAATGATACACTAATCACTGAGAGTGAGAATAATTCATGAATTTTTCAAGACAAAAATTTCTTACCTCAAATTATGATTTCTTGTAAATTAGAGTCTTGGAATTTTACTTTCACATTTGACATGTTATATCAATGCAATTCTTACACTACAGATAAAATTATTTTGAAATTATGTGAAGAATCTGCAAACAAATTCTACATTTATGTGTTTTAGTTATAAAAATAAGCAACAAAAGACACTGCAATAATATTTTAGAAAAATGGATTTTCAATGAAATATATAGTGGAAAAAAAATATGGCTCACATATGGTCAGGTACTGTGGGTTTTACTTGAATGTAAAAAATAAAAATAATTTTTGAAATCATATTTGATTATATTCGTACTAATTTTATAGTTATCAAATGGATCAAGATCAAGGAGTGTTTCACCAAATTCACCAAGGTCATCAGATGAAGAGATATCCAATGTCAGACGAAGAGGGCGTGGTAGAGGCAGACAGCCTAGAGCTACTGGGGTAGGAGCAAATTATTTAAACTCTTTACCCCCTCTCCCAAAAAAATGTGACAGTTTAAAGCTACTGAGGTAGTAGTGCAGTTCTACTCCTCCCCCCCCCCCCCCCCCCAATAAAACATAAAAAACAAATGAAGTGTTGTTTATGATTTTAGGTCTTGAGAGGTCGAGGACGTGGAAGGTGCAGAGGACGACAGCGCGTGCAGCCAGCTGGCTTGAATAGACTGGAAATGGCAGCTCAGGCTCGACGGGACAGACAATCTCAGCTTGAAGTATATACACATATATATTAATATTTATATATTATAAAATGTCTATATCAATGTCTATATCAATTGAAATATATAAAGTTCTTATTGCAGCCAGCTTATAAATATCAATAAAATTCTTTTAAAACAAGCACTTCAATTTCAGGAATGTATTTCCAATATGGACTTGGCTGCACTACAGGAAACTCTCAAGTTAGTCTGCAAGAAACAGCCTTCATTATTGATGGATGTCCTGAAGACTGCAAATGATAATGGGGATCCAACACCAGGGAATAGCCCTGCGGTTCCAGACTGGTGCTCTTGCAATAACTGTAGGGAGATGCCTACCGAGAGGGAAAAACTGTGCTGTGGAAAAATACCCCAGAACTGTCACACAAAATTAGCTGTAAGTTTTCATTTTTTCAAATTCTGATCAAAATATTATTATACACCAACTAGATATGAAAAAAGGTGAAGATAAACAGTCAGTGTAATGTCTATTATGTATAGGATTTCTATACCATAGTGCTAGATGAATTGGTTCTCGAAGTTGCCATGAGATTTAGGAATGATGCTTTGGCAGAACCTAGAGATGACAACTACAACAGAGCTCATCGACATACAGCTTACAGACAATATGTTATGTGGATGCATGGCCGTCTTGGAGCTGGAAACCGAAAGGTCATTCCCAGCTGCTGCATATGGAAAATTCGAGACCAATATCCTGAACCTTCTGGTCAATATGTGGGATACATAGAAGGAGTCTTAGACTGATAAAGACAACATTTGATTTTCACATATTGCTGTTTTTATATAATAATAAGGTTAATTAAACATTGAATAAATCTTTGAAATACTATGTATCATTTTTCATTCATCAATGTGAAAAGAAAAGAACAAAAAAAGCAAAACATGCAATGTCATATTTAAAAGACTGTATCAAACACCTATTGATGAGTTACTTGGGTGTCAGAGTTAAAGGTATTATTTACAAATTTACAAAATTCTGCATTAACATAAATGTTCAAAGTATCCAAGCAATTCAGAAAATTGCATATCATAAATCTAAAAAGTTTTTTGATTGCAACATTATCCTTGTTATAAGTAGCTTGCATAACTCCAAAGGAGTGGGGGGTATACTGTTTTACCCTTGTGTGTATGTCTGTGTGTTCCGTGTCTCTCCAAAACAATTTTTTTTGCAGTTTTCTCAGTAACTCCTCATCACAGATGCTTGAAATTTTAGCACAATCTTTGTTTAGGCATGCCATATGGTGGGATTCATTTTTATTTGCATCTGATGTCAACTTCCTGTTTATCCGTGCGTCTGTCACTAACAAATTTTTCGTCACAGTTTTCTCAGCAACTACTCATCACAGATGCTTGAAATTTTAGCACAATCTTTGTTTAGGCAAGCCATATGGTAGATTCATTTTTGTTTGAATCCGATGTCAACTTCCTGTTTATCCATGCGTCTGTATGTACCAAATTTCCGTCGCAGTTTTCTCAGCAACTACTCTGCGCAGATGCTTGAAATTTTAGCACAATCTTTGTTTAGGCATGCCATATGGTAGGATTCATTTTTGCATGAATTCGATGTCAACATGAGAGTGTATATTCACATCAGAGTGGGGGTATTACTAGTGAGCATTCGCTCACCGACTTCTTGTTGTTACAGGTAAATGTTCAAAATTGCAATATTAAACAAGATCAGAGACGTGTCTCTTTTCTTGATTCTGACTAATTAAATGCTCTCATGGAGAAATCGAGATTTCTTCTCTGCCACCAGAGATTCAGTTGGTGGTGGAGCAACAGGAGCTAGGGTCTCGGACACACGTCGTGGATCCTCCACATCAAGGACAACTGGCTTGTTCATACCAACAGGGTCAAAAATCCTATTTTGAAGACACAGTTTCATGATGTCAGTTGCATATGGATATTGTTTTTCTTCTCTTACTGGGTAGGCAGACCATCTTCCACTTTTTTTGCTGTAGTACCGCTGATGCCTAAAGTACAAGATTCAATATATTTCAAAATGCATTCCAACCTAGTCAGCAAAATAATTTACAATGGTATATTGTAGATTTTAACTTAAAAAATAAATGAATGAGACAAAAAGAAACCTTAGTGATCCATCTTTTCTTTTGGCAGCTTCTCTGTCACAATTTGCATTGTGGTCCAGTGCAGCAACAAGGTTTCTCGCTCTGTACACTGGAGGTGTGTAAGAATGGCGCTTTGATGAGTACTTCAAAATAAGGTTTTGAAAGTTCTCCAAAGCGGCTGTACTTCTGTAAAAAAAAAAAAAAAAATCACTAAATAAACTATATACATGGTGAAACCTTCCTGAAAAGTTTTAATCTAACATTTAAGAAATCTGTTATATATATATCACATTTGTGTTTTCATTTTCTAATGGAAACATTATAATTGGATATGCATAAATAGAAAATATCTGTAGAAAAATGTAGTATACAATCAATTTTGTGTATACCGGCAATTAAGGTAGTAAGGAATCTTCTTTATTAGTCTTTTGTCCCTAACAATTTCACGCACGGCAACATGTGCTGGGGATCCTGCCTCAAGCCAATCTTTGTTCCTTTCCTCTGTTAATGGACCATGCTGGCATGAACTTTTTGCTCCTGCTCTGTATGGCAAAATCCATTCATGCTCATTCACAACATGATGTATGACTCCAAACCAAATGCCCTGAAAAGAAGAACAGTCTAAAATTATTTTTTTTCACTCTCTATTAACACAAACTGAATCAAGTGGTTTTTCTATTTACAGTTCAAACTTACAATAAACTCTTCTTCTGTATTTGCTACAGAGGAACAAAACCAAAAATGGTTTACTATCTCTCTTGTCCACTGTAATATTGGTTTTTTTGATTTTTCTTGTCCAGTCTGAAAATAATGTTCAAAATTCAGTTTACTCATTTAGCATTTTTCCAAATTTTGAAAATGTTCTTAAAATAAAAATCTTAAATTGTCTCACCTTTATTAGTTTTTTCCCAAGGTTTTTTGACCCATGCCAGATGTCGAATGAATGTTTTATTTCTGGGTAATCTTTTTCTGTTATAAAAACATGATGATAGCTACAGTAAATCTAATTTATATATTTATCCCTAAAGAAAAATCAGAAAAAAATCCTAATTACAGATTTAAGCTTTAAAAAAGAAAAAAAAAAAAAACAAAGAAGTATACAAAGACACATACTCATTAAAGCTTCAATCTGCACATGTGCATCTGTCACCACTTCCACCACATTTATTTCTTTTTCAAGGAGAAACTGCAGGCCCTTCTGAAAACACGCCTTTTCAAGGATTGCACTTTTTCTTCCTGTCATTCTCTTGTCCATGGTCACTAAGCACAGTATCTTGTGGGTTTCATTTTCCATAAATGTGTACGTACAGTACTGTGCGGAATGACCTGGACTGTCCATACGACCATCGCCTAAGCAAACAAACAAAAAAAAAACAAATAATCAAAATAAAAGAAAATTTAAATATATCCTCTTCTTGACAAAACAAACAATACAAGCATTTGGTTGATATTGTACTCACCAAGAACAACAACATCTTTTCCTCTGAATTCTTCTAGAATATCATTCTGATGCTTTTTCCAAATTTCTTCAATTGTTGGAGTGACATAGGTTCTTTGTATCTTTATAAATGATGAGACAGACAGAATGGGGAGCTTCAGGAACTTAAAAAACAGGGAAATCTTTTGAAAATTATTACCTGACGCCAGTAAAGCTGCTGAGATTAAAACATCCCCACTGTGAACCCGTCTATTAAGAAGAGGTTGCGAACACCATTTGTGTGCCTCATGATTGTTTGTGCAGACCTGGAACAGAAATTTAAAAAGTGCCTTTGTATTTCAAAAAGAAAGGTGAATGATGCCTTGTCACAATATGTATTATATATGATTCTTTTAAAATTATACTGACGTTCATTACCCATCTCAGGTACACAGCTGAAGACACTACTTCTGATGAAATGTGAACTTGAGCTTCACATCCTTTCACCCTACAAATCTTAGGGACTCCTGTTTCTGCCAAGGTAATCAGCTGATTAATGTAAACCATGGCTGGACAATCATGGACCAGTTGTTCAATTTCATCATTGTTGCGTATAACTGGTAGACAACTATACTCAGCATGTTCTACAAATTTTTCTTCATCGTCCTCAATCTCTTCTGAATCCGACTCATCTAGCGTCACACCATGGTCAAGTCTATAGAGAGAATAAAAAAAACATAACAAAATTATAAAATTTATGTTATTACAGTTTAATGAACCAATTACCAATAATTTTTCCCATTAGTACGTTTCATGCTATCTGAAATATTTACAATGATTAAACATATTTAACCTCTTTTAATTAAATTTTATATTACTAAGTAAATAATAATTCTAATAAAAATTACTTTAAAGACAGGTGGAAACTTGGCTCATATTCTTCATCATCAGAAGAGTCATTTTCTTCGCATGTCAGTTCAGAGGCACTCATTGTCAATCTAATAAAAATGCATATATCAAAATCATTCATGCTAAAATAATACATGACGTATTTAGGCCATCACTAATAATAATAATATATTTTTTTATGTACTCCGACTTACATTTTTCAAGGTGGGAATGTAGGTAGGTGTTTTGTTTGTTTGTTTTTTGTTTTTGCAGTATCTATAGCTAACATCAATTACTGTCATAAAAAGCATAAACTTAAGATTTATTGATGCTTTCATGATACACCGGATAAGACAGATTTAATATTTATTGCTATAAAAATGTTATTTCAAACAAGAGGCACTGGGGCCACATCGCTCACCTGAGCACTCTGGCTAGGAAACAGCAGAAATCAATTCAGTCCTGAAAAGTTTAAATATAAAAGTGGTTCGGGGGGGGGGGGGGGGGGGGGGGGGATGTACTTCATATGGATGCTTATGAATTAATATGACAAATATGCCCCTGTATTTTCCTGGGGGTCATAATTTGAACAAACTTGAATCTACACTACCTAAGGATGCTTCCATATAATTATGACCAATCATGGTTTTGCTGTTCTTGAGAAGAAGATTTTTAGAGATTTTCCCAATATATTCCTATGTAAAACTTTGACTACCCATTGTTGCCCCACCCTACCCCCGGGGGTCATGATTTGAACAAACTTGAATCTACACTATCTGAGGATGCTTCCATTTAAGTTTCATGTTTTCAAGCACAGTGGTTCTTGAGAAGAAGAATTTTAAATGGTGCCATTAATTTTTCACGAATTCATAATTATCTCCCCTTGGAAAAGGGGGTGGCCTTTAATTTGAATCCCCTTTACCCAAGGATACTTTGTGGCAAGTTTGGTTGAAATTGGCCCACTGGTTCTTGAGAAGAAGATGAACATGTGAAAAGTTTACGATACCAACGCCAACAACAACAGACAATGGACAAATTTCGATCAGAAAAGCTCAGGTGAGCTAAAAAGTATCTTAGAGAATTATAAACCTTTAAAATGAAACAATGTCTATTTCCCTTGACCCCCCCCCCCCCCAAAAAAAAAAAAAATTTAAAATTTAAAGTACTGGGGAAAAGATAGGGTAAGGGCAATTTTGACAGGTCAGTCGGAGTACATCAAACAAATTAATTTTTAATGGCCTTAGAAAGAAACATTTTTAATATGTGTGACAAAAGAGCAATGTTGTCAAACCTAAAAGGATCCACAAAACTGTCTGAAAATGGCTTAAAGCTCTTAGTCCTTGGATCTGTAGGTTCTGCAATTTCCTCAATGCCAGACATAGCACTTTCAACACTGAAAATATTATTTAAATTTTCTTTTTAAAAGTAAATTTTCTACATAATAATAATGATAATAATTTCAAAACTCCATTTAGAATGTTTTTGGTAATTATATATGTATTCAAAAATTGACACAAATACTTCTCAAAATTTTGCAAATGTAAAACAAGCTTGGATATTTACTCTTTTCCCACTTCATCTGGTGAAATGTCAGACAAATCAGACTGAACAATACATATTTTCTTCAAAGCTGGTGGACCAGGCGTTGATGTAACACAGGGTTTGAAGTTTTTTCCAGCAGGAACACTTGTATATTTTTGCTCATCCTTAGCTTCATAGCTAGAACAATGAAATCTAAACGTTTAACATAATTATATAAATATCTTGTATAGTTATCTAAACGTTTAACAGAGTTTGGTTATTTACCCTTTCCGTGCCTCACAATATTTACGCTATCAACTGGCTTACGAAGATACTTATTTGTTGTATATTACAACAAAAAACTAACATCGGCTGAATAAGATATGATGCTTACAAGTCAAGTAAGGTACTAAGAGTTTTCTCCAATCATTTATACTAGTATCTTGCATTAAATTGGCTATAATTAAACTTGTACACACTTACTTGTCAAGCAGAATCTTTGCAACTTCGATATTTGTTTTCACGGATAATTTTGTCCGCAGCTCCGTCCAACGATCGTATTGATCTCCAATATATATTTTGTTTTTGTTTAACCTAGCATTCGCTTCCCTTTTATTCCTTTTTCTCGCCGAATCCGTTAATTTAATCTTCGCACCACGTTTTCCCGACATCTTTGCTCTGCATCTCCGACAAGCTGCACATGCGTACATCAGTACGAACATCAGTCTCCGAGCGTTTGACCCAGAGGTCACTTGCATATTTCTGACTACGTCGGGGAAATATTGTCTTGCAAGACAAAAATTCATGAACGGCTATTTTTCTCTTTTTCGACTTATTTTAGACCTTCAATGAGTTCAAATTTAGTCTATAATTTTAAATTTCAGATCGATAAAATGTTTTCGTTCTACATTCGTGATTAAAAAAAAATTGCCGCCGCTGACAGCTTATATTGCTTTAAATCTTGGGTCGAGTCGCCCTTTTCCTATTTTTATATTCTAATATACACTATATGTTATCAATAATGTAACTTTTTTGTCTCTATAAGCTGTTTTTAAATATATCGTTTTCGACTGATACATAAAAAGATAGACTGGTACCCTGACATTGGTTAACGGGCGCAAGCGCCCTGAAAAACCTTGTAATTCCTAGCGGCAGCGACTGGAATCAAGGGCAGAGAACCAGTGCTACATAAAAAGAGAGAAGGCTTGCAACTCTTTTCTCATCGTCTGCCTCACCTCGCTTAAACTTCGCCTGATTATTTATCGAAAGCATAAGAAAACATGGAATATGCATACATCAATAAATTCGTTATATATTCTTCTTCCTTTTCATATTTCCATTTAATTTTTATGTGCCCCCGATTTGTAAATATTTCGATTAAATCACCCGCATCTAGGGTAAATTTTGTTGATGTGCACCAGCTGGGACGGAAGTGCCCGTGGATGACAGATAAGACGGACCATAACAATGTCGGACTATAACAGAGTCGGACCATAACGAAGTCGGACTATAACAAAGTCGGACTACCGTATATATATTTATTAAATAAACGGAATAAATAAATGAATGAATATAATGATAGGTATATTTCTTCAAACAGGTTATAAGCGTAATAAATTGGGTCATTGTCAAAACATGGATAACTCTTAGATAAACAATTACCGCATGCATCGCTTACTAAATAGACAATGAAAATATTAAGTGAAAACCGCAAGAAGTATGTTTCAAAAATTGACAGAAAAAGCGACATCGGCCATCCGAACGGGACAGCGTCCAATCATACAATTATGGTTAATATGGTTGAAACGTCGTCAAAAACAAAATATTTATTCAAACGACTTAAATTTATTGGAAAATATTTAGTCTATTGATTTGTAATTGGTGAATACGATTTACCAATGTTGGCCCAACGTAGTCATGCTATCTGGGACTCTTTTGCATGGCAAATTAATTACGTTTGGAAGTATATTTAACAATTAATTTTTAGGTCATATTTCACCAAAAAATATATTTTTTGGCCTGCAAAAGAGTAGTACCGCAGTTATTGTGAAACGGTCTATAGTTCAAGTCAACAAACTATGCTGCAGCTTCACTACGAAATATACAGAGGCAATTCTGGTTAATGAGAATAATAACCAGGTACACAAACCTGCAACTCTGGCCTAACAAAATAAACTGAGAACAACATTGTTTAAGTAATATAAGGCCTATATAACAGTATAACGCATAAGAAATATACTATAGGGCAACATAACCTTTTATCATTTATCATATGCAGTCCACTTACTAACGTACGTCATACTACAATTCAACATTTTTAACGTCAGTATACCTTCATACTCTTTGGAAATCATAAAAAAGTCTTCGAAATAAATATAACTTAATTAATTAGTAAAAATAATCCTATGGTCCGAGTTTGTTATAGTCCGACTTTGGGTAGTCCTAGTTTGTTATAGTCCGACATTGTTATAGTCCGACATTGTTATGGTCCGACCTATCAGTAAATCGTGCCCGGTATTTTCGGGTATCATCATTACGTGTAATGTCATTCGGAACATTAAATGCGAGAGGGAATAAATCCCGAATTTTCTCTTCATATAACATGTAACGGTAAGTTCTGTGAATAACAAGATAACTGTAACTAGCAAATTCTAATGGATGAAGATTAACTTTTAACAGACGACCTAGACAATCAAATTTCACAATATTGTTATTACAAAGCCTGGATTTTTTTTTTTAAATGCAGAACATTTATATAGTTAGGTGGCAGGGGATAGTTTCGTACTAAAGACCCGGTCAAATTTCTTAAAAAATTGAGATATCCCCTGTTTGATGTGATATTTTATGTAGAAAAATGATTAGAATAATTATGGGACACATTTGCAGTGTAGCAGAGTGCTTGCTGAAAAAAATGATGTGCAACATGTAGGTGTCACTATGATGCTTATCATATACAGAGTTGTAAATGCGAAACTAAGACACGTGGTCAGTTGCAGAGGAAATTCAGCTGAAAAGCAGTAGGCCTTAGAAGAAGGTGTGTATCTCAGAGGGAAGGTGAATGACCCCATATCAATTGGTGAATTTTTATTAGGGCTTGCATTGATTTACAGACTACTGGGTGTTTTATCCTGCTCGCTCGGGCCTGGGGGTGGGTTGTATGGGTGTGAATGAGGCCCAAATCTTGGAAAAACAAGCCAAAATTTGGGGAGTCCCCAGGTGCATTTTTGGTACATGTGCACTCTAATACGCAGATTACATGTAATTTGTTGACATAATTTGTGAGCCATGGGCATATGAAGTGTAATTAATTAGCCCCTGGAAAACTGTCCCCATGTACATGTTTTTATGGATCGCATGTATATGTGTACCCCCTCGGCACATGTTTGGCATTAAAAAAACTATCCCCTGCTACCTTAGAGTTACCGTTATTGCACTTCCGTCCCAGCTGGTGCACATCAACAAAATTTACCCTAGATGCGGGTGATTTAATCGAAATATTTACAAATCGGGGGCACATAAAAATTAAATGGAAATATGAAAAGGAAGAAGAATATATAACGAATTTATTGATGTATGCATATTCCATGTTTTCTTATGCTTTCGATAAATAATCAGGCGAAGTTTAAGCGAGGTGAGGCAGACGATGAGAAAAGAGTTGCAAGCCTTCTCTCTTTTTATTTATCAGTCGAAAACGATATATTTAAAAACAGCTTATAGAGACAAAAAAGTTACATTATTGATAACATATAGTGTATATTAGAATATTAAAATAGGAAAAAGGCGACTCGACCCCAGATTTAAAAAGAAAAAAAAAAAAGGGAAAATGGGGGGGGGGGGTCCATACCCCAAGTGCCTGTGGATTGTTGTATAATAATAATACATGTAATAATCTTTATTCAGGAATAGGCATTATGCAATGTACATGGACATGGAGGTGTGAGTATTATACACATATAAAACTTTTAAATAGACATGAATTAAGAGATGAATTTAAAATGAATTAACTAATAAATCTTATTTTGCATATAAATCAAATAAATATATTATATTGTATATGCCTAAACCCAAGGATATCCCATGAAAGCCAGTATGGCTTATTTCCAATGGGGTCGTGTACACGGATTTGATATGCGTTCTATTTATACTGAGTAGTTTTGTATAAACCCAATAACTGAATTTTTTAAAATAGTTCTGAAAACAATGTTTAAGTTCATAACTAAGTGTAGCAAACAAGAAACGACTCAAAAAATAATTCAGAGAGAAACCTGGAGTGTTTCCGTTTATGGTGATGGAGTTTGGGTAGTAGCTAGGGGATAATATTGAACGCTTTATGAAGTAAACATTGACAAATTATGTTTTATATTCTGTTGGCGATCTTTCATTATCATATGCAGAACTAAATTCTAAAATTTCAAGGTTCTCGGCTTAAATCATAAATGATGATTATATCGATGAACCGGTTTCAGAAAAGAAATGTGTATGGCTTTCGTGTTTCGGCTCTATGTTTCACTACATTTACCTGTACCACTTGCCTTGGTTCAAGCTTCAAAATAACTTAGAGTAACACGACTTCAGGATCTGGAACTTATTTTTGTTCACTTACGGTGCGTATTTTTTTATACTAGGGGAACATTAACCACTTGTAATTACAACATGTTTCAATTTGGGTGGGGGACCTATCTATTTTTGTCAGTTTTTGCAGGGGTGCCAACGAACAACTGATGGTCCATTATTCATTGATAATATGTTGACGGTGCGACCGTTGGGGCGAGCGCAATGTTCACTTCATTTTAAGATCCGCCTCTTCAAAACGCACGCGACATTTGGAACGTCTAAACTGTGACGTCACATGACGTCGTATGTTAGCTGCATTTCCATAAACAAAGTTTTAAAAGTGCAAATATTTTAACAAAGAACGTTTAATCTACTATCTGCATGCAATAGCCATTAAATTAAGGTGAGTTTATTTTTTGTGAAATTTTAGTTGTTGTCACCGCGTGAACGAAGTTAGCAGCGAGAACAAGAAGCGATGCATTGTGGGTCAGAATTACTGCGGAAAAAAATTCTATTGAATGAATGTGCAGTAGTCCGAATTTTCTCTTCGCCCAGGCGTTGTCGTTAGAGCTCGCAGTGACGAGCGGCGCTTTGCGCCGCTCGCTGCGCTCGCTATTACTAAGAATAATCTAACTGTGTCTCGGAACAAGCCCTCACCACCGGGTCTGTAGGACAATATCATTTTAACGATAGAACATTCTATCTACATTGATATTAGCAGGTCTGGTTCAATCACCAGATTTAGCTATGTAGCTTGTATTACCCAGGTTGGGCACAGCCCACCGAACGGTCATTTTACTCCCGTTTGGTGGTCAATCTCCCATATCGGAGTTGGTATTTACTGACCATTTGGGAGAGAAAAATCTTTGTGTTCAATTCAATGGAATGGTGTGGAATGGCGCATAATTTTAAACCATGTGGAATAAAATAATAGATATTTATCGGTGTTCTAAATAAAAAAATCTGAAATTCAACATGCAATTTTTTGCGAAGAGTCATTCAAAAATTTGACAAAATTGACACATATGCTAACAAGTGCAACGCAGAGACATATAAAAATGAATTTTTCATTTTTATATGTCACTGGTGCAACGTTTCTCCGTTTTTACTTAAAAAGAAAAAAATCCCTCCATCCCCAGTGATGTAGATAGAACGTTCTGTCCTTAAAATGATATTGT